CTGCCACAACAACCCTTCCCACATTCCTATAGGTTTAATAAAGTACTTTTTGCCCAAAAAAGAAGGGATTGTCAGGCAATAAAAGAATCATTCTCATGCTTCACCAGGAGCTGGATGTTTGTTTTACTCTTCGCTGCTTTTCAGATTAACAAAAGCAGTTACCTCTTGGTAAATCTTTTGAAAAAGCCTTTGCATAATACACTGTTTGTTCCCTTGATGTATACGCATTCAGATGAGCTCCCATGTTCTCAATCTCCAGTTCAAGGTCTAACTGAGATCTCTTTTTTGTACCCTGAAACAAAACAATAAGGAAGTGAAACTGAACCTTTGAATCCACTTGCTGACTATTAATACCGCTTGTCTGCCAAAGTCAAGGTGAAGAGAAAGTCTTCTGAAATGAATACTGGCATACTAATCTCTCCAATATTTAGGAAGATCTAAATCCCACTATGCTCACAAATTAAAATGAAAAGCTGGGTTTTGTGTCTTCTAAGAACATTTTAAAAAATAAAGAGCAAGTTAAAAGTAGACCTGGTACAAACCTATAGTTCTGTATCAGCTACACAAGACTAAAAATTTGGCTTTGCTATGTGGAACCAAAATCAAATCCCCCTGATTTGTAAACTGTATTTAGACAATTCTAAGTTCCTATCACTGATCTCTAAAGATAACTAACTTAGAAATTTGTTGTAAATTTTAAGCCAGTACTCATACTCACCTTGAAAGCCATATGCTCAAGAAAGTGAGCAGTTCCATTGTTCTTCTCATTTTCATATCGGCTTCCAGCATCAATCCAAAGTCCAACCTCAATGGGGATAATAATTTTATCAATCAATAATGCAACTTTGCTGTTTTTCCTCTATGAACTACACTTAAGATTTTTAAGACCTACTTTTAAATTGCTTTTTCTTTAAGTGAACCAGAAAAAAGAAAAGATCTTGGCAAAATTCTAATTGCAAAACACTTGCAAAAGCCTTATGAATCCTATTTCTCTGCTCCTTTTAAGAACAATTGCTAATAAACATTTATAGACTCCAACAAAGTTCCATAAAGAAAAAAACAGGAAGTTATGAAAAAACATCCCTTTTACAGGTTACCTACTGTGCACGTTGAAAGCCCGGAGTCTTCAGAAGCTACCTGCAAGCCATTCTCCAGAGGACTCACACGAGTCTCAGGAACATTTAAGACTACTTCTGTTGCTGCCTGGGCAGCTCTGAATCTGCCTCTTCCCACATGTACACACTGTAAGAAAAAGACATCAGTCATACTTAGATTATAAGCTATACCACAGATTCATTTGAGTTGGAAGGGGTCCTTAAAGGCCATCTGGTCCAGCTCCCCTGCAACAAGCAGGGAGACCTACAGCTAGATCAGGTGCTCAGAGTCCCATCCAGCCCTTGGGTGTCTCCAAGGACAGAGCATCCACCACCTCTCTGGGCAACCTGTTCCAGTGCCTCACCACCCTTACTGTTAAAAACTGCTTCCTTACTTCCAGTCTTAATCTCCCTCTTAGTCTGAAACCATTTCCCCTTGTCCTATCACCACAGACCCTGCTAAAGGAGTCTGCTCCCTTCTTTCTTATGGCCCCCCTTAGATACTGCAAGACCACTCTCAGGTCTCACAGAGCATTCTCTACTCCAGGCTGAACAGCTCCAGCTCTCAGGCTGTTCTCGTAGGGGAGATGTTCCAACTCTGGGATCATTTTTATGACCATCCTCCTGGCACGCTCCAACAGGTCCATTTCTCTCCCATACTGAGGGCTTTAGTCCTATCCTATCCTAGAATGCTTTTCCTAAAATGTATTCCTGAACTTAAATGTAAGTTCATGGCTCCTTCTTTAAAACGTGCATTTAAAAAAATATTTTTCTCTCAAAATTATTTGTCAGTACTTCACACAGGAATACATTAACCAACTCAGAAGGAAAAAAAAAAAAACAAGCATCACAGAATATCCCAAGTTGGAAGGCACCCACAAGGATCACTGAGTCCAACTCCTTGCTCCAGACAATGCCACCCAAAAAAAAACAATCAGACCATATGTCTGAGACTGTTGTCCAGGTGCTTCTTGAATTCTGGCAAGCTCTGTGCCTTGACCACAGCCCCACTGAGCCTGCTCCAGTGCCCAGTCACTCTCTAGTGAAGAACATTTTCCTTATATCCAACTTGAGGATCTCCTGTCGCAGCTTCATGCTGTTCCCTTGGGTCCTGTTACTGTCACCAGAGAGAGCAGAGATCAGTGCTGCCCCTCCGCTCTCCTTATGAGGAAGCTCCCCTCCCATTCTCTGGGCTGAACAAACCAAACTACTTCAACTGCTCCTCATACATTTTAAGGCAACTAAAATGAATTAGATCGCAACTGCTTTCCTTCAACTAAATGTTGGGGCCTATGTCTAAGACTGCAAGTCACAGTCATCTGTTGTCCAGAATAAAGCCAGATATTGAAATTGCCACCTTGTAATTAATCCAGAAGTTACAAGAAATTAACATTAAAAAATCATTAAGAAATTACAGAATATCTTGGGTTGGAAGGGACCTTAAAGCCCGCATCCCCACCCCCTGCCGTGGGCTGGCTGCCTCCCAGCAGCTCAGCTGCCCAGGGCCCCGTCCAACACGGCCCTGAGCGCCTGCAGGGATGGGGCACCCACAGCTCTATGGGCAGCTGTGCCAGGGCCTCACCGCCCTCTGAATAAAAAGTTTCCTCCTTACATCTGATCAAGATCTCCCCTGTTTTAAGTTTAAAACCTATCACTGTCTGCTCTTGCAGGAAATTGACTTCTGTTTATAAGCACCCTTTAAGTACTGGAAGGCCTGAGGTCTTTCCAGAGACTTTTCCTTTCCAAAGGGAAGAAGCCCAGCTCTGGTTTGGCTTTGTTTGCTCAGTTGGTCTCAAAAGCCTCCTGGGCCGCACAGAAAGCACACAACCCCTCCCGACACCCCCCGCCCTTGAGGGCACGCAGCCGGGCGCTGACACTCCCGCCATTCCAGCGCCTCGGCTCCCACGCTAAGACTACAACTCCCGTCGTGCACCGCGACACGCGGCCTACAGCCCCCCCGCCCTCACTGCGGCGGCCCGAGAAGCGCAAAGAGCCGTCGAAGCGCCGATGCCGCCCAGAATTCCCCTCTCCATCCCCGCTCCGCCGCCTACCCGATTCCCAGAGCCGGACGGCCGAACGAAGCGGGTGCACCAGGGCAGGAAGAGCCGCCGTGCCGCTAAGCGCCCCGTGGACGCCGCCATCTTCGCCAGCCCGCGGGGCGGAGGCTCGCTTCCGGCGGGCGCTGCGCAGGCGCAGAGCGCCCTGACTGGGACTGGCGGCGGTGCCGTGAGCCGCTGTGCAGCGCGGGCTGCGGGGAGCTAGGAGCCTGTGTTCTTCACAAAAGCAATGGTTGTAGTTAATATCAGGATGCTCGAGCAAGCCATGTTCAAGGTCAGCTGCTCCAGAGCTGGTCGGCTGTAAACTGTGAAACAGGCTTAACCACTCTCCCCTCCTCATGCTACTCCGCGGAACTGCACTGTTCAGGAAAGTCAGTTTTCCTCCTAATAAACTGTTATCGGCAGTTTCTCTAACGCGAAGTTGGATGTTTTCTCTGTGCAGTGCTGTGTGTAGAGCTGATGCCTACCGAGCTTCCTGTCGCCATGCAGCACTGAGTTAGGGTAGCTCGTTGCGGCATTTCTCATCATGCAGAGTCAATCCAACTAGGTAAGGCCAGGCTAAAAATCTGAAATCTTGTTTCACAAAGAGTTCTGAACATAAGGAACGTGTCCAAGAGGCTGGACTACCAGGAGGCTTCATCCATGCCAGGAGATGCAGTCCCTGACACAGGGGGCAGCCCTGTGTAAGCCGTGCTGCAAGCGGTCCCTGGGCACTAAGGCACCAAAGCTGCCCAGCACTGGACATGGCCTGCCAGAAGGGACCTTGGTAGGAGCCAGGGTTGGGCTGGGAAGGGCTCTGGCAGTGTGCTAGTACAGGCAGTTCCATCTCAGAGCCATGCATTCCATGTTTCTGGGCATGCTTTGGATGTATGGGTGTAGATAAACATGCACAAACAAGCAGAAAGCAGTGCTGTCAGTTTTCATTTCCTCTTTAAAATGTTTACTTTTTCTGCTGGATTTAAGGGCTTTTTACTTAGCTTATCAAATTATCTCTCAGAAGTATACTTTTTTTTTTTTTTTGTACTATTTTCCTAACTCAGGATGTCCCCTCTGCCTCACATTGAAGCACACTACTTGTCACAACCTCTGCCTCAGTAGAGACACCATAAAGCTTTTTTACTGCTGTTCTGCGCTGCTCCAGAAAGAAGGCCATTCATGCCTGTGTTCTGTGCCTCGTGTTTTCCTTTTCAATATATGCAGCCAGTATCTGAAAGAGCTGAGTGCTAAGAGAGGGACTACAGCCCTCAGTCCCTCTGTCTCTTGCCCACAACTCTGTGAGGATGTTCAGTCTCAAAAGCGGTAAGAACTGAGGATCTCTGTGCTCAGTGTAAGCTATCTCCTACATCTACCAAGATCCTGTCATTCAGAGTTAATTCCTAAGAGCTGTCAGAAGTGGTGTTCCTTCCCGCTGAAATATTAATTTTAATGTAGATTTCAGGTGACACTACTACCACAAATCACACACAGCAGTGACAATTGATAGTAGTTCCTGAGCTGCCTCAGAAGCTAATGATTGAGAAGGCTATTCAGAGTTATTTACATTGCCAGACTCCAAATCGCGGGGCAATGCCAGAAAAGTCACCATATATATAAAAGTCAACATATACCATGTTGTTGTTCTGGAATATTTTTGTGTGTAGGCAAATCCCTTAGCATTTCACAGTGAAAATATACTGAATGCCCTAAAACCTTTGCACTGTCACTGCATGTGCTGTGTGCTTAAGCAGAAGCTTTGATACTGCAGAGGGGATCCAGCTTCTGTCACAAGGACAGAAATGCACAAGGACTGCATTATAACAGTAAAAAAAAGCACAATGTACTGCACACATTTAAAAATGAAAGTGGAAACTGTTGTCAACTCATTTATTAAAATACAAACCTAAATACCAAGAAACCAGGTGTTTCTGAATTTGACACAGAGGCCTTGATTACATTTGTTATAGTCTCCGGGATTTAAATTTTTACTGTTACTGTTATTTTACTGCCCATACTGCTTTAGTACCCACATAACCTATGTCTGAAGCATTTCAGCTGCAGTGTAGGCACATCCTTTCAACAGAGAATTTGCATTGGAGGCAAATTAGTTTCTGTGGAATAGAAAATCCATCTCTACATGATGCTAGCCACACTTTTTTTCTTTTTTTTTTTTCCCATTTGGTTTTTCCCTTTTTAGTTTATGCATATTCAAAAGATCATTCCAGTTCCAGCATTCCTTGTTTCAGATGCATCTCTGTCAAGCTGTAAAGTAAAAAAGCAAAGCATCAAACTGTGCATTTGAAAATTAAAATTAAGCTTCTCTTCTATTTTACAGTTAGATCTAACTGATCTCATTATGCTGAGATTTATCTCAAAGACATTTTACCAGACTTCACTGAGCCATTAGCTATCCTAGAAATTTGAATCCTTGCTAGACAGAGAATTACAGCTTAAGATAAACTGATTATCCTCATATTATGTCTCCTACTTAACAAAATAGCAATGTCTCATATGTAAATGCAATCTAAAATTTAGCATTCAGCGAAGGTCATTAGAGAGATGCAGCTTCAAATCAAGAAATGTTGCTATTCAGCTAAAAATGCAGTAAAAGAAAACAGATACTGGTGCTTTAACTGTACGATCTGAATATACAAACACAATCTAAGTATCTCTGAAACACTACTTTTCAAATAGTTTGAACAATATCTTTTTACAATTAGACTATTTAGAAATGGGCTATTGTAACAAAGGGTGCTCACAGTATCTCTATGGTTAAGGTAAACAGTTTTACCTGCAGCTTCCAATGGAGAAACCTTCCTTTGTATCTCTTACACATCTAACTCAAGCAACAATGAAACAGGAGGACCAGGATTAGCAGGGGAAGTTCTGAATAAACAACTTGTCCTTGTAATTTATCCTGCATTTATCTACGTGGTACATAAACAGTTCCATGCAAGTTTCAGGATGCCATGTAGCCTTACGAAATGGGTAGATGACAGAGATGAGATTCTCAGAATGACAGTCTGGTTCTTTCTAATTCAGACTACAGATTTCACCCTAAGAAAGAGCAGCTTTGCATTTTATACTAAGTAGCTCTTCTAGATCAGCATTCCTCATGAACAGTACAGCACTTTTGGTTTTTGAGCAGGCTTTTGTGTCCAAACTGGTAGGAATTGCACTAAAACCTGTAATAAAACATGGTCTGAATTATACAATTCCAGCTAATTTTCTGGGGAAATGAGGTTTCTGTGCTCATTACTATACAGTAGCAACCAAACTGAACACAGAGTACTCAAAGATAATGTCATTCCTATGTTTCATGAAAATGAGTGGCCAGGAAACTGCAGCTGAGGAAGAGGCTGTGGTATCAACTCACGTTTTTTTAGAACCCACATTGGGGAGAGATTGTGTTACACAATGTCCAACTTTTAAAAAAAGAAAGAATAAAAAGATCCAGCTGCTCCCAGTGCCCATATATCTGACTGGTTGCTCACAGAGAAATATTTCCACCTCATAAAAAAATGCCATTCAGTAGCAGTGAAAGTGATATAAATTGGAAATCTACATGTTCCTACCCGATTCAGGTGATAACCAGGTGTCAACACAGAGGCTGAACACCACACTTGGAAATCAGCACAGCTTTACTTCTGAACTAGAATGACAATCTTGACGTGAGTGAAGTATGATTATACCAAAGGGATTTTCTTTCAATTGTATAGATAAAATGCTTCTTTCAAAATAAAGAAGTTCCTGTCAGCAGGACACACTGTCGTGATCAGGTTGCTATGGAGGTTGTCTGGAAGCACTGTCCTGACTTGCAGATTGATTCAACTTCAGTCAGCAGGCAATGGCAACTCAGCATCAGAACAGCACTGCTCAGGAGAGAGACCTTCAAAACTGCTGAAACCAGCACACAGTAAAAGCATTAACGATTGAAATTGCCTGCAGCTAAACTACTGGTTAGTGCTGGGTTTGCTTTTGTGGAGTCATCATGTTCACTGCTTATTTACAATTCACTATGTTTTTAAAGCAATGATATAGTATTGCACTTAATGAACATGCCGAAATGCTGCTGCCAGGAATTGCATTTAGCTTAGCCAAGCAAGTAGAATTCAAACAAGCCTAAAAACTTGGGCTAAAAAAAAGATACTTTTTTGAAGAGGAAGTTGGTTTTTTGTGTGAATAAAGCTATGCTGAGTATATAAATCAAGCTCTATGTATGGTTTTCATGTCAGCTGCTCACTGGCATCGAGCTAATTATTTTTATCATTGCTACCTATAGGTTATCCTCCATCTGATTAAATTGCAAATAACTTTTCAATCCCATGGCTTCTGGGCAGTAAGTGCAAGTGCCTATAGGCCACTGACATCAGTCTTTTGCACTCTTGAGCTGTAAGGAAGTCTGCAAATTCGACATGAAAACCATTGGCTGAATTTACATTTCATTTGCTCATTAAGAGAGCAGCTCCTTTGAAACTGCTGATTAAAAACTTTCTTCAGGGAATATTATAGTATTTCATCCGACTGAAGTTCTTTTTCTCTTAATAATATTTGTGCTCTGAAATAAGAAAGGAGGACCTGTCACCAAGTACTGAAGAACTCACTACCTGAGTTCTGAAGACTTCTATCAGAAAGATAAAAGGAAGGAGTTCGGATAGTTAATAACAAAGTTCTCTCTCCAAGAACAGTATGCCAAATTCAGTCTGATACAGCAATTCAGTCGGAAATTACTGTAGGTTCATCTGATTTAGCAAAACAGATATGTTTCTTCTCAGCTTTTAGCAGGCTTACTACAGAATAAGGATCTTAGAAAACAGTTTGTTTGTTTGTTTGTTTGTTTGTTTGTTTTTGCTTTTGTTGGCATTCTATAAAAGTGTTGCTTCTGCACCTTTCCTTGGCTACAGCCACATTCAAGTGAATTGTTTTATATCATTATTTTAATTTGATGGTGGATAACTTCCCCAAACTCCAACATTCATTTCAACTTTTTGCCAATCTTATGGAAAAGTCACTTTAAAAAAATATTTTCTCCAGAAAGTAATCAAAAGAGCACACAAATTGCTAGAATAATTCAAGACTATTCCTTCTATGTTCAGACACCATGCAGGTAACAAAGATGTGAGCATCTTTTCTTAAGGATCTGTAGAAGGAAACCTACATTTTTTAAGAAGAATGCTGTTAATGCGACTCTTCGCACTGATATAGCACTTAAACTTTCAATTTTTGATCTCAGTAGTCTCAGCAATGTTTAAGAAACTGCTAACAAACATAAAATTCAGACTATGTAGTTTAATATAGCTAATAATGCAGCATAAATACAGGCTTATCCATAGTAGCAACTGACTCAAGGCAACTTTTGTTTAGCTACCTCAGTTCCCCATTGCAACTGAACTGGGGAAGCAACATGTACAGATATTCTGCTTCATAGCTTTATCCAACTTCTTAGTTGGTTTAAGCCTTGCACTGATTTCCATAGTCTTGTAAATTCTCTGAGGTCCATAATGCCACTATGGACTAGCTGAATTTAATATCTTTATTGATGATCTGGATGAGGAAATTGAGTGCACTCTCAGTAAATTTGCAGATGGCACCATGTTGGGAGGAAGTGACAATATGCCTGAGGGTAGGAAAACCCTACAGAGGGATCTGGACAGGCTGGACCATTGGGCTGAGGCCAATGGGATGAAGTTCAGCAAGCGCAAGTGCCAGGTCCTGCACTTTGGTGACAACAACCTCATTCATTGCTACAGGCTTGGGGCAGAGTGGATGGAAGACTGTGCAGGGGAAAAGAACTTGGAGGTGTTGGTTGATGCTTAGCTGAACATGAGCCAGCAGAGTCCCAGGTGGCCAAGAAGACCAATGACTTGTGTAAAAAATAGTGTTGCAACAGGACAGGGAGTACCTGTACTCAACTCTGGTGAGGCCACATCTTGAGTACTGTGTTCAGTTTTGGGCCCATCACTACCAGCAGGACATTGAAGCGTGTCCAGAGAAGGGCAGTGAAGCTGTGAAGAGTCTGGAGAACAAGCCTGATGGAGAGCAGTTGAGGGAACTGAGTCTGGAGAAGAAGATGCTCAGAAGAGATCTTCTTGCCCTCTACAACTACCTGAAAGGAAGTTGTGGCAAGGTGGGGTTTGGCATCTTCTCCCAGGTAGCAGTGATAGAGTGAGAGGGAACGGCTTTAAGTTGTGCCAGGGGAGATTCAGGTTGGCCATTAGGAAAAACTTCTCAGAAATAGTGGTCAGGCATTAGAATGGGCTGCGCAGGGAGGCGGTGGAGTCGCTGTCCCTGGAGGTGTTCAACAAGTATGTAGAAGTGGTACTAGGGAACATGGTTTAGTTAGGCAATTTTGGTGGTAGGTGGACATTTGGATTAGATGATCTTAGAGGTATTTTCCAACCTTAATGATACTGTGAATTGGAGTTCTCATTCACCCCTTTGCACTGGACTAACCAGCTCTTTCAAACTAGTTCTCCACAGAGAACTTCTCTCTCTGAGTAGCCAACAGGACAGAAACAAGACAGCTCCAAAATGTGGTTATCCACTGTACTCTGGAGACCTCTGTTAGGATGGTTACTCAGAAATGTCTGCTGGTGGCACTTATCTCTGAACTTATGAATAGTTCAACAGGTAAAGATAGCCAACTTCAAGGCAGATGCCTTTGGGCAAAGCAGATCTTATCCTGAGCTTCAGGCTAGTAGCGCATTCCAGACCTCACTTATCTGAAGATCAGATCCATACATTTTATTAAATTATTAGAAGGTATTATACAGACTGTAAATGTATTTACTTAAGGGCACAAAAGGCTGAACTTATATTTTGTAAGGATCTCCAGCAAGTACAATAACGTGGAAATTCAGTAGTATCTTTATTAAAGTTCTTATCAATAATTAAATATAAATTAAAACAATTGAGTATTCTCTGTGTTATTTATCTTTACATTAAGTTTATGTTTTGATGCTTGCACATATTTCACATATTTAGCATTCAAGATGATATAGTTTTTTGTTTGTTTGTTTGTTTGTTTGTTTGTTTTCTTTGTGTGTGTGTGTGTGTGTGTGTGTGTGTGAAACTATTAACTACACTGTGGAAACTATCTAGAGAAAAGCTAAGTGTTGATAGATGCCTGGAAAAGAAGAAATTGAGATTTTTGTCACTTGAAAAGCCAGCAGAAGGAGCTTGAGAATGTGGGAGAAGATTGGCTAGATATTTCTCACATAATCAAACAGCTAACTCACTGAAGTTAATATTTCTAAATTTCA